GCATACCTTGTCAAATGGAAAGGCTATGGCGAGGAAGAGAACTGTTGGGTGCGAGAGGAGGATGCAGAGAATGCGGCAGACATGCTTCGAGAGTATTGGGAGCGCAACAAGTCCAAAGTGGAAGTGGTGAAGAAAAAGACTCCTTACAGCGGGTCTGCACTCCAGAGCGAAGGCGATTCCAGCACAGCCAATGGCAAGAAGAAAGGTAGACAGAGCAAAGTGGATTATTCCGTCGCTTCCATGTCTGGAATGTCTTCCTCTGCTGCAGTCGCGTCGACGCAGCAACATACGCGCAAACGGGCAAAGCCCAATGCGCACAACGCGGCGATTGATGCCGCTTTGGAACAAAAAGAGGCGGGCAAAAGAGCTAGAAGAGCAAGACAGGGCGCTCTGAGCAGAGTGGTCGCAGATGACCCTTCGGACATCGAGAATGATAGCGGCGTGGATGATGCGGAGCTGGAATCGAGATTCGGCGCAGACGAGGTGGCGAGGAGGAAGAGGATCAGACAGGCTAGAAAGTACGAATTGCTGGCGGATTGGGAAAATGTGGTGAGGAATGTGGACACGATTGAAAAGATGGAGGATGGCAAGCTGGCTGCTTTTTTGGTGTTGTGAGTAGTAGAGGCCGAGCGCATCCGTCATGCGTCATCCCGTCGTCATCATCGTCGTCGTGGTGCTTTGTTCAGCTGGACGAGCAGTCTTTTCACCAAGCGCGTAACCTTACCTGTTCGAATTGCAGCGAGAATGGCGAAAGACACTGCTACACCACTGCAGTCACGAATCACCGATGTCCTCAAAAGGTGCGCAGGCAGCGTTGGAAATGCAAAGGTCGTTACGCACACGGGACTTATACATCATTCATGATTCACCTTGCACAGATGATTGAATTCTACGAGTCCAAGCTTCGTTTCAAGCCCATCGAACCGGAAGGTGAGCAGAGCTATCTTGACTTCTTACTGCTAAAGGAGATCGTGGGGGGACTATGGCTTACGAGCTCGTCTTTTGATCCCTTCAGCTGCCGAAGAAAGACAACAGGCAAGAGAGCGAGATAGGTCATCACGAGCTGCTGTACAGGACGAAGAGACTCGCCAATCCCAAGCTGCAGCTCAAGCGCAGACCGAAGCGCAAGCACAAACGCAAGCCGAGGCTCAAGAGCCAATCATCGACGATGCTTCAGCTCCTGCGCCCGCGATCCGAGGTGATGCGGCTGAGCAATCAGCTGAGGGGCCATCAGCTCCGACCATGCTGTCTCAATCCGCTGGCGATCCAGTCGGAGCACCCGAACTTGCCGGCATCAGTGGGGCCGGTGCGGATGTCGAGGCCGACGCAGATGCGGATGCTGAAGCGGATGGGGAAGCGGATGGGGAAGCGGATGGGGAAGCGGAAGCAGAGGCTGATGCAGATGCGGATGGGGATGCGGAAGCAGCAGATGCTGAATTAGGCGCTGAGCAAGGTGCACATTTAAACGAGACGCGTTCGGGGTCAATTGGAATGGAAATTGATGCGTCGCTTGTAGCGCCTACGATCTCGTTGCCAGGTACGCAACCTGCAGCTTCTCTGGCGATGCGAGAAGAATCGAAGGAGGAAGAGAGGAATGTGCAATCTTTTGTAGATGCTGGGGCGTCTTTGGGCCAAGAGGCGGCAGCGGAGCAAGTGGAGCGTGGGAATGCTGTGGATGTACAGATGGGAGGGGCAGAATGAGGAAGCAAGCGGGATACATACGCATGGCGGGGGCTCAATGCGCATGTTGCGTCGGGCGGGGGGCGATTTAGAAATTGACAAACCCCGCTAGCTAGCTCTCGCCAATAAAGCCCCTCGCATCCGGATTCGGAGGGAGGCCAGTCTCAAGTCTTTTCGCCCCCCACCCCGTCGTCCACCGAGGCGTCTATCTGATCTTTATTTCTGCAAGAAGAAAGACAAGACTTTGTATTTACGCCGTACTCGAGCCAATGCCGGTCACGAAATCCATGTGCTCAATGCGATTCGATTTCTCATGGATGCTTGCTCGAGCGATGCGTTGCGCGTGCTGATGCGTTGCGCGTGCTGATGCGCACGCTCCACACACAGCCTCTCAAGTAGATGACCGCCATCAAAGCAAGGCAAGGAGGAGACGGTAGGATTTGACAAGCTCAAAAGAGCAAAAAAAAAAAAGGTTCGGGGTATGTGGATGCTGGAGAGGAATTCGAATGGAGCTTGTGCAGAAAGGAGGAGAGAGAGAGAGAGACAGGCATCAAAGGGGACGCCTGCTTGCTCCCCTTTTTGTTCGGGTTCAAGCAAAAGACATATCTTCCGACTGATCCATCGCAGGTATCTCGTGCTCCAAATCCCCAATATCCTGCGTCAACCACCTACTGCTCTTGGTGTTGGTCATGAGCGCTTCGATCTTGCCCGTCAAATCCTCCATATCCATCGAAACGTCTCGTCGATCCCTCTTCAAAAAAGCAGCCGTATCCTGGCTCACCGATCGACGAGACTTGCCAGTCGCCGCACCAACCATACCCAAAGTCGGCCTTTTGGACGCTGCTGCTGCTGGCGAGTCTGCTAGACCGGAGGAAAAGGTCACCCCGATGGGTGCGGGTGTGGCGGATGCGCGTCTTTCGCGCATAGAAGACGCGCCGCCCACGCTCATCCCGCTCGGCTTGACGGGCGAACGCAGCTGGTCCACCCTCGCCGACACCTGGTTGCTGGCAAGATGCACAAGCCTATTGTTGGCTTTTCTAGACTTGATCAGACCCCTATTCAAACTAGAGATGAGCCTCTGATTTTCTTCCTCTCGCTTTTCCAGCTCCACGATGCGCTTGGCCAACGCTCTAGGCTCTTTAGCCATCAGGTCCAGCTCCTTGTCTTGCGCTTCGCAGACCAGATCCAGCTCTCGCACTTGTTGCTGCAGACGCGCAACCACAGACTCTTGCGTC